AAGGAACTGGATATATGCGAGGAGTACATAATCATCCGGCAGTAATCTTAAGTTTGATAAGCCAGAGACCCAAGAGGCGGTATTAAGGATACTGAAATATGCTGAAGACAAGGAGAAGGGTTCATTCAATCATTCTAGAGAGAGGGACGAGCTTAGCCTTGGCTTGGGAAACAAGGAGCACACAGGCCGCACCAGGGGGCTAGGGAAAAGGATGACCTAGAAGCAAGGATTCGAAGAGGACAGGCACATGTACAAGAAACATGGTCGAGACTGGGAGACTAGTCTTGAGCTCCAAGTGAAGGCTCTAGTTGCGAAGGCGCTGGAGGAGCAAGGACTGTCTACGGAGCCACGGATATTAGTGACGCCGCCGAGAGAAATGGCATTAGTTGGTAGCCCTCCGAAAGTTCCTAGTAGCCAAGGTTCCACTGTAGCCACAACCCAAGTCGATCGCATACGGGAACCAACTAGTTGCACATTGGTGTTTCTCAGCGGTCGGCAGAACACTGTGATGGAGGTGGCAACGGGTGTGGCACATCCTCCCGGTGGCTTACACCACAATAATAAGATACCGTCGGACTACACTAGGGTCGAGGTGCATACAGTGAAGCCCGAGTTCATGCAGTGGAGGATAGACTATGTAACTCCCGATGGGCTGGTGTTACTCGGAGACGTTATGGGACAGTTCATCCTCTGGCACAAACGGGGTATTATATTGACTGCTTCTTCGCCGCCTCCCCCTCTCCCAAATTTGGAGCGAGTTGTTGAGGTCGGGGAGATATTTTCACCGTCTCGTGACCCCCACAATCTTAAGATGCCACATTCTTCCCCGCCTCCTAGCGAGCATGTGCCTGATGAGATGCCACAACCTTCTCCAGCTCATACCGAGCAAGTGCATCATGAGATACCACAGTCTTCTCAACAAGCATAGCCGATACATGAACAGCGAGTGCCTCCTGAAGAAGCTGCAGCACAAGAAGATGAGGACGTGCCTGAATGGGAACTTCGAAAGAAGCATCCAATCACCATAAGACCAGTTTATGTTCCGATCAAAGACGTCTCGTCGGTGTCCAAGTGGTATTCCCATGACTAGTTCAAGCCTGAGAACCAAGTTAAAAAAAGTCCCATCACGGGGTTCTGAGGAGGCCGTCACTAGCAAACTCCGCCAAATTGCAAAGCAGTATCCAAATGCTGATGCCATCAAATGGTCAAAGGATTGCCCGAAAACATATGAAAGAGGCAAGCCCTTCCTACCAAACCGGGACATCCAACGCCTACCACTTGGAATGAGAAGGTTCCATGATTGGTACTTGCGTGTTCTCCCAACGAGCATAGATATCATACAAGCATGCTTCCCCACCGGCATATTTGGAAGCCCAGCCGGAAAAATTGTCTTTGACTTCAATGACATGCAAACATGCTTTCACCTGGGAGAAATGGAGATGAATCTAATTCGCACGTGGTGCCTGTAAGTCCTTGTCCTCCCGATATGATATGAATGTAATCTTTGAATTTTGTTGTAACTAACCCACGCCGTGATTTGTAGAATGCAAGTGCACATTGTCAAACAAATGCCAAGTGTGAAAGCCGGGTATGTGGACCCTCAAGCTATAGCCCAAACAAATTTCAATTACCCTAAACGGTGGACACTGGATGCCAAAGAGCTAGCTGCTGCAAAGACTCTTCGGAAGAAAGAGCACATCCGTACGGCGAAACTAAGGGAAGAGTCCCTTAAGGTTGCGGCATACATTGCCCTGGCTTTCAAAAATCTCCAACAACACTCTACTATATGGCTACCATACAACTTCGAGTAAGCTCAACTCTATACTTAAAGCTTTGTTCGATATATTTTATTCGATGCAAAAGAGCTTATCTAGTTCTATGATTAAATCCATGCAACAACCATTGGATTTGTATAGTCGTCGATGTCGGGAGGAGCATGGCATGGGTCTTTGATTCATTAGATAAGGACACGGTGACATACAAAGACTTCATATCGATTCTCAAGACGTATACATATCGACAATCCTCATTAGCTTATTGTTTGTATACATACTTGTAACGTTCACTTTTGGATACTAACAAGTTGTATTTGCTAAAATAATTCGAACAGGGAATTTAGGTTCTATGTCACTAATCATCATGGAAGACATGATCCAGCAAGGAAGAAAAAGCTGGCTATAAAAACACTATGTGCGGTAAGTGTAACTTACTTCTTCAGTACTCCATTACATGGCTGTCAAAAGCATTACTTAACATTTTCATATGCAAAACAAATAGTGCCCCAAGCAGAAGCCTAGGAGTGTACATTGTGGAAACTATATATGTTCTATAATGAGTAACACCGGTGCCTAAAGGAGACACCCCTTAAGGGTAAGTTTGAACCTCTTCACCCGTAGTATAAAAACTTCGTAAATGGTATGAAATACTAAACCGAAACTTGTTCTCTGGTAGTGGAGAGAAGAGAAAAGAATAAAAAGAGACCCATACAAGGATGACTAACTCTTAGAGCTCGTCGGCGACCTTTGCAACTTCATATTGGACCAGATTGTACACGTCAGAGGCGCCTACCATGACCGAGTCTGAGTTAGGTACAAATCCTCAGTACCAACACCTTCGTGAGACTGAAAGGCTAGCTCTAGGACGTTGATAACAATGTGTATGGAATTTGTATATTTAATGATGGATTGTATATATTCTTGTGAATTGGACTTGTAATTGTAGTTTATAGAATACTCTTGTGCTTGTAGTCGCGGTCGCGGGGCGTTCGGCAACGCGAACGCGGTTTGGAACTTTGGTCGCGGGGCGTTCGGCAACGCGAGTTCAGCAATACAAACGCGGTTCGGAACGTTGGTCGTAGGACGTTCGGCAACGCGATTTTGAATTATAAATTTGAATTTTTTTTTGCAGGAAAACGTACTGTAGGGGCGGTTCTAAATTGAACCGCCCCTACAAATACTTGTTTGTAGTGACGGCTGGTACTATAGCCGCCACTACAAATCGATTTGTAGGGGCGGCTGGTAATACAAGCCGTCCCTACAAATTGATTTATAGGGACGGCTGGTAATACGAGCCTACAAATACATGATTTGTAGAGACCCTTGCGTAGGGGCGGCTGGGCAAACCGCCCCTACAAAGGGTTATCAGTCGCCCCTAGAAATGCTTTTTGTAGTAGTGATAATTTCTAGGTTGAGACTATCTTAACAATTTTCTTCTTGCATAGAGAAATAGCACACAAACATAACAGTCACACAGGAGTGCTGGAGCATAGTATAGCCATTGGTCCTTCTGCCATTATCGAAGCTTTAGAACTACAGCTGGCCGAAGAGACTAGCACCAAATATCTTACCTCACGTGCAGCCATAGGCCGGTTCATTACTCCACTGCTACTGCATTTTGTAACTACCATGGGCATCCGGTCAACGCGTCTGTTAGACGCTCTTGTCAAGACAGACCACAAAACTCAAAAGCAGCTAGAGTATGTGCGGTGTGTGCGAGTGCTACCTGCATTGTCTACTGCCGCTTGCAAGGAGGCCCGGGCAGGCGCCCAGGGTCGCCGGGCCCTGGGTCTGCCCATGCTACGAGAGTTTGAGTAGGTATAAGGGGACTGTAGACAATCATCATCAATAGTCACCTAATCCCCAAACATTTTGTCACCCTTCAGCAGCTGGAGATGACTTGTTCACAGGATAGACCCAACTGCGAATTTAGTGACTCAATGTTTTTTTTCGAGGAAATAGTGACTGAAATGTTACCTGCTGACGATATGTATTCTTTTAATTAGCCTGTAGAAGTTATGGAGCCTCTAATCACCTCAAGAATGATGCCCTGCAGCTAGGTTGGATATATGGAAGATCAGATAGGGATGGTGAAAGAATTTATCATTTCTTCATTTGCTGTTTGCAACTTTGCAAGGTAAAGGAAAAGGCCCTTAAAAAAACACGTGCAAGAATGACAACGATGCAAATTCAGTGTTTTCGCATAAACTGCTAGTTGTGGGGTGTTTGATTCTTCCTTTCAGATCACTGAGAAATTGCAGTGACAATAACACTGCACTGCAAACTTGGTGAAATGGTTTTTTCCACCTCAGACAGCGATGTGTGGGTGTGGCTATCTGCTATCACTATTGGAGATTTATTGGGCATCCAGAGTTAATGTTCCAGGGATGACCAGGTCACCATGTGCTTTACACCTCTGTTTTTCTTTTAGGTACTGCCAACCAAATTTCCATGCACTGTGCACCGTGGTTACATCAAGATCGAGAGTTGCTGAGTCAAAGACTGGCAAGCACAGCCATAGAGAGACCTACGAAGTCAATGTGGATGGTGATGCGCCATCAACCGTGAGTGAGATATGAACGACTGGGTCATCCAGCTCAAGCTACTGCTACGGATAATCCACCATTCGTGTAGCATTAGCATGATAATATAAATGCTCTATACCAGACCCCCTGCTCGGCCCTCATCCAAGCCTGAAATCCAAACTCTGATCCCTGATCCCTGATCCCTGATCCCTGGGCAAAATGGTACTGTTTGGGCTTGATTGTTCCAACTTCCAATAGCGTTGCTACGGTCCTACCTCTGTTCTCTGAAACCACTCTGGATGTTATAACTCCGACATCTTGTTTACCGGGTAAAAAATAGAAATCATCCCAGAGGTGCGGCTGAGTAAGTGAAACCCATCCTCTGCAGTTCGTCTGATATTTGTTTTCCGTTTCTACTTGTATCTATGACGTCAGCAACTTTGTCCGTTTGTGGTATTAAGCGTTTCCAATAAAACAGCAGACTATAGAAAGAACCCTTTTTGATCGAAAAATATGGGGGACTTCCCCAAATTGCATGTCCTTATTATAATTTTTTTAGATTGTTTGTACGAGCAAAGATTTCAAGAAATGACATTAGAAGTACCTATACAAAAATATTCAGTGCTTGTACTGATGCTTTCAGTCTCCGAGTGCGATTGGGGAGAAACTGTGACCTGGATTGTTTGGAGAGTAAGCGGAGATGGCAGAGACAGCGCTCAGCCTGGCAAAGTCGATCCTGGGCAGCGCCGTCAGCAAGGCGGCATCAGCTGCCGGTACTGAGATAAGCTTGCTGATGGGCGTGCAGAAGGAGATGTGGTAAGCATGCTGTAACTGCCTCCCAGCTGATTTATTCAGAGCATAAATAGGAAGCTCACTGTCCACATATCTAGATTTATCCGGCACAAAATAAATAACGACTAAGTAGGTTTGTGATTGAGTCCTGGAATCAACATCGAACACCGTTTTTGTGTTACTTTGGCTCTCCTACCATATATAGGCTCTACACAGTCATTAGCATAGCATAATACAAAGGTTCCATGTGGCTTAAGTTCCTTTAATGAAGGTGGGAAACTGCCTGTCACTACTGCAGAAAACCGAGGCGGGCAAAACGGATTAACCGAGACGGGCAAGCGGTCCGCCTCTGTCCAAAGGTCAAGTTTAATCCAGCCATAACGGAGGCGGTATTGGCCAACCGCCTCGGTTAATAGATTAACCGAGGCGGTCGGCTTAAGGCAACCGCCTCGGTCAATCGAATAACCGAGGCGGGCGCAGTAAAATGCCTGCCTCTGTAAATAATTTCATGAATTAAAAAAAAAGCCCGGCAAGCCCAGTACCCCACTGAGCCTGCTGCCACCGCCGTAGAAGGGCTGAGCCCCGCGCCGCGCCCCCGCCACCAGATTCGGTCGAACCACCACCGGATCCGCGCCTCCTGAACCAGATCCGGTGCATGGGGGAGGAGGGGCGCCAGGATCCATTGCGTGGGAGAGGAGGGATCCGCCGTCAGGAGTGGAGAAGAAGGGCCGCTCGCCGGATCCGTTGCTTGGGGGAGGAGCGGCTCCGCCTCCACAACCAGATCCACCGTCGGGGAGCGCAAGCGGCTAGATTTGGCTGCTCCACCATGGCGGAGGGTGCCAGTCGTGGAATAGGGTCAAGGAGGAGGGGCAAGGCTGCGCCGCCGCACCGGGAGGCCGCGCCACGCCGGGAGCCCACGAGGCCGCACCGTGATGAGCACCGCACTCACGCCCGCGAGGCCGGGACCTCCAACACCACAGCCGAGGGAGGTGAGGGAGGGAGGGAGAGAATGAGAGAGGTGAGGGAGAGGAGAGATGCATGAGAGAGGGGAGGGAGAGAGGGAGATGCGGCTGTTCGCTTTGTCCAGTGCGACTGCGGGAGGGGGAGAGAGAAGTGAGAGACAAAACCCTAAGTGCTGGCTTATATATGAGCCCGGTAGACTGGTAGGTATGGGCTTTGCATTGGCTCAAAGTCGGTCCAGTATTTTCGATGGTGGGCCTTATAGTGTGCCCGCCTCCAAAAATAGATTTATGAAGGCGGTTGCGTTACGACGACCACCTCAGTTAATATCGATTAACCGAGGCAGTTGCTTTAGGCCGACAGCCTCGATTAATAGATTAATGAAGGCAGTTACGTTACGAGGTTGCCAACCGAGGCGGTTGCTGGGCCGGCTGCCCTGCCACGAATAACCGAGGCGGGCAACCGGCCCAACCACCTCCGAGGCTATTTTCTAAACGCCTTGTAAAAGTTTTTATGGAGTAGTGTGTGCCAACTCGAAGGTTGTTGCACAACTTTATTCTTTTCTGCGCGGTGAATATGAATTTATTTTGAACTTTGTTTCACAGGTTCATCAAAGATGAGCTAAAAACCATGCAAGCATTCCTGCAAGCTCCTGAAGTAACAGAGAAAAAGGACAAACTAGTGAAGGTTTGGGCAGAGCAAGTACGAGATTTGTCCTATGACACTGAAGATTGCCTTGACGAGTTTATGGTCCATGTGGGGAGCCATAGCTTGTCAAAACAGTTGTTGAAGCTCAAAGATCGTCATCGAATAGCTGTCCAGATTCGCAATCTCAAATCAAGAATCGAAGAAGTGAGCAGCAGGAATGCACGCTACAACTTAATCAAGACAGAATCCTCCAATGTATCTGATGATATGGATTCGAACATGGAAGATATCCGCAATAACTCAGCAAGCAACATTGATGAAGCAGAACTTGTGGGCTTTGCTTCACCTAAAAGAGAGTTGATTGCTCTGATTGATGTCACCGCTATGAACGGTCCAGCTAAGGTGATATGTGTGGTTGGCATGGGTGGTTTAGGGAAGACTACTCTTGAAAGGAAAGCCTATGAAAGCAAGGAGGATACTCTGAAGAGCTTTCCTTATAATGCTTGGATCACCGTGTCACAATCATTTTCTAGGAGGGGGATGCTCCAAGACATGATCAATCAATTTTTTGGTGCTAATGCATTGAACGATCTCTTGAAACAACTTGCAGGAAAAGTGTTGGAAGAGGGCCTTGCTAGCTACCTCAGAACAGAGCTTCAGGATAAGAGGTACTTTATTGTTTTTGACGACCTATGGGAAATAAATCACTGGAATTGGATTAGTGGTATTTCACTTCCTAGGTCAAATAACAAAGGTAGTCGGATAATTGTTACTACCAGAGATGCTGGCTTGGCAAGACATTGTACTTCAGAATTACTCATCTACCACCTGAAACCCCTAGAAATAGATGACGCCATAAAGTTGCTACAAAGAAAGACAAAAATAGCACATGATGACATGGACAATGATGAGAACCTGAGAACACTAGTTACAAAAGTAGTAAAGAAGTGTGGATATTTACCATTGGCAATACTCACAATTGGAGGCGTTCTAGCCACTAAGAAGATAGCAGAGTGGGAAATTTTCTATAATAAGCTGCCTTCAGAGCTTGAAAGTAACCCAAGCCTTGAAGCAGTACGTAGGGTGGTGACCCTCAGCTACAACCACTTGCCCTCACATCTTAAGCCATGTTTTGTATATCTCAGCATCTTCCCTGAGGATTATGAAATCAAAAGAAGTCATGTGGTAGATAGATGGATAGCAGAAGGGTTTGTAAGAGCAAAGGTTGGGACAACCATTGATGAGGTTGGGAAAGAGTACTTTGATGAGCTAATCAGCCGGAGTATGATTCAATCATCAAGATTCGGTATAGAGGGAAATGTCAAAACTTGTCGAGTTCATGACATCATGCGTGATATCATAGTCTCAATTTCTAGAGAAGAAAATTTTGTCCACTTAATCCACAGTAATGGAATTAATGTACCAGAGGAAAACTTCCGTCATGTTGCATACCACGACAGCAAGTGCCAAAAGGAAGGCATGGATTGGAGGCATATTCGATCATTAACTTTTTTTACTGAGGGGTCTGGTGGTGGGGATCTGGATCTCACACCTTCAATTTCTACACCTAAGTTGAGGATGCTACGAGTTTTGGATTTAGTGGGTGGAAATTTTAGAATCACACAAGATGGTATAAATAAGATAGTGCTGCTGTGTCACCTGAAATATCTGAATGTCAGGTCTTGGTCACGAATCTATTCACTTCCGAGTGGCATTGGAAATATGCAAGGCCTGCAAATTTTGGACATGGGATACAATTATATTACAACTCTGCCAACGGAGATCACTAAACTTCGAGATCTCCGTATCATCCGCTGTAATAGGAGAGGCTATTCTTTTTTGGATCCAGATGAACCAGTGCGTTGTTTGTTTGCCACATTGCGCCTGCCAATAATCCTAATAGGTGATTCATATAGACGTGCCAGAGCAATTGGTGATCTACACATGGGCTGCTCTAGCGGTTGGTCCAGGACTGGTGGAGATGGAGTGAGGGTTCCAAGAGGTATTGGCAACTTAAAAGAGTTGCAGATACTAGAGTCTGTGGACATTAGAAGAACTAGCAGCAAAGCAGTTAAAGAGCTCGGGGAGCTGACCCGATTAAGAAAATTAGATGTGGGAACAAAAGGGGTTTCCAAGAAGAAGTGTAAGATACTTTGTGCGTCCATTGAGAAGCTCTCTTCCCTTCGGTCTCTCAGTGTGACGGCCAGCGAACTACAGGATAGAGGACTTGGATGGTTGATTTCTTCTACCTCCCCTCCTCCCCACCTGAGGAGCCTCAGTTTGTGTGGATATATAGGAGAGATGACCGACTGGTTCATGAATCTTACACACTTGGTGAAGATTTTGTTTATAGATTGCCAGCTAATGGAAGATAAAACCATGGAGATACTTGGGAAGCTGCCAAAACTCATGCGCCTCAAGTTTTACAGCGGTGCATACCTTGGAGAGAAATTAGTGTTTGGAACCAGAGCATTCCTGAACCTCAGGGCATTTGAGTTTGAGATTTGGGGCGATATGGACCACCTGAAAGAGATTAGATTTGAGGAGGACACCTCCCCTCAGATGGAAAGTATAGACATCAGGAGCTCAGATTTGGAGTCAGGGATTATTGGTGTCAAGCACCTTCCAAGTCTCAAGGTGATTGCACTCAGTTCATCTAGGGTGGCGAGGCTCCGCATGCTGGAAGAGGAAGTGAACGCACACTCGAATCGTCCTGTCCTGTGGCTGTCACATGACCGAAACAGGCATGACCTGGGAGACGTTGAAGGATCCAATGTGGAGGTGGAAGCCACAGAATCCATTCCTGACGACGACACAAAGGTCAGCGAACCTTGTGCAGTAGCAGCTTTACCTTCTCGTTACGTTTATTTTCAGCAGAACTAATTTGTCAACGCAAATAATGTTTTTATGCTTACAATTCTTCTCTCTGCTTGTCTGCAGTGAAATCCAGCCCGCTTCTAGTTGATGCTGCTGCCTGCTGCTCTGCCTGTGTGGCTGTGCCCATAGCCTCTCTCTGTAGTCTGTACGCGGCTGCTGCAGGTCTTGGCGTGCCACAAAGAGGACCTTACGCCGTGTTGGCAGCTACTGCTCGAATCTCCTAGTGTTTGATTTGTTTCATCTGTTTGCAACAAGAAGTAATGATGTTATTTTTCTTCCAAGACCTACTAGTAATGATGTTTATTCGAAACCAGCACATTGGCTCCATTTATTCCATGTTTGATGTAAACAAGCAAATAACCATTGTGTATGTTCTGAAGTCTACAGCACATAACACAGTGGAAGATTTCATAACTAAACACCAACCTTCTGCTTGTTTTTTTTTAACTTATGATGAGTTTTGAGTGCAGGGATGGAGCTCTGCTTGTCGTTTGGGGGTCACTTACGACAGAAACACCTAATTTACTACAACTAATTTACACTTCATTTGACTCGTCAAAGAGATGAGATGTCCTTAGCGCCGCTGTTGTCCTATGCGTGCCTGGGTGAGCTGACGTAGGCGTTATGGTGTTGTTGCTCGGAGTAGACTTGCAGATAATCGTCACAGCCGGGATGGTGTGGTTGGCTAGGACCTACAGACCGATCCTGTTCTCACAGCCCCTAATGTGCTCAGTTAGTCATTGACTAATTTGTTAATTCTACCTTTCTTCTTGATGAAAAGCTTACTATCCCTAGTCTCACTCTAAATATATGGAGCAGTTATATATCAATTTTTTTTGCGATAATTATTATCAACTCAACACCACTAAATCACTATATTTATAGCAGATCATTCTATCTCGATGAGACAATCACTTATATTAATACCTAAAATTAAATAGCAAAAAATTCTGCATTTAACTTTTCGTCTAGCAGAATCTTGGAATGGCTTCACCATCCGCTCGCAAAAAATACCATTCTAATCCGAGCCGGACCGTCCATAATAGTTTTTCTTTGCGGTGTCCATGTCCTTTTTCTTTTCATTTTTCTTTCGGTAATGTTGGGAAGCGGGCGTCCGTTTGCCTGGACGCTCCGTTGGCAGGCCGTGATACTAGCCAACTACCCCCTCCTATCAACTCAGGAGTTTGTAAAAAAAAATCAGGTTTTCTGCCTCGCGGTCCTCTTGCTTCCCAATGACGTCGCACCCTGCGCGCAGCTTGCACTGCCTTGGCGTAGCGCCGTCGCCCGTAGCCCCGCCAGCAACCAACAACCGCGTGCCCCCACCGCCTCCTCGCTACTCTGACCCGGCATCGCGACGCCCTCCCTGCCCAGCTGCCGCGCTGCCCACGCTTGCTCCCCCTCGCCCCGGACCATTGAGGACCGCTGGCTCCTGGAACTTGGGGTAGAAACCGAGTACCGCCGGCTGCCCTTCTTCTGGGATCCGTCCGTCACCTCCTTGAACTCGATGTGAGCGCCATCTTCTCTGCTCTTCGCCAAGATCCGCTCGCCCGCATAGCTCCGCTCCTCGCCCCAGGCCGCTGCATCCGTTGAACTCCACACGCTGACGAACCTCCATTCTCCCAAGCAACAAGGAGATATTGCGATGAAAGCACATGTTGCAAGCCTATGTTTCAAGTGTTTCAGATGTTTCAGAGGTATGTTGTAAGAGTTTCATATGGATGTTGCAAAAGGGGATCAGGATGTTGCATATGTTGTAATGGTTGTACACGTATGTTGCAAGCGTCTTTCCCAATGTTTCAGCTGTTTTTCAGACGTATGTTGCAAGTTTGTTTATCTGGATGTTTCATATGTTTCACATATATGTTGCAAGTGTTATATCTGCATTTTTCGTATGTTTGCACTGGTTTTCAAGTGTTTTTGCAAGTGTTTTCATACGCATGTTTCAAGTGTTTTATCTGACTTCTTTTGTTTGTTTAAGTGTTGCTTCTAGATGTTTCAAAAGTAGGTCACGTGTTGCACATAGGATGCGCATGGGAAGTGGGACTGGGCGCGAGCGGTCCCTGCGTGGGCGACGCCCGGACGGCTCGGGCCACCGCATGGGCGCAGGCGCGGGCGGGCGATGTCCGGGCAGCATGGGCCCCATGTGGACGGGTGGAATGGGGCGCAGAAACGGACTGCGAACACTGCAGCCACGGGCGTCCATCTGGACGTCCGGATGCTAGCAATACCGTTTTACTTTCGTTCTAATCCGCCCGCTCGCGGGGGCGGTGTTTCCCACGTAAGTTCTTTTTTGTTTTTCCTTTTCCATTAAAGTATCTTTTTCTTATAAATATTAGAAATAAATAATAAATATAATATTATGAATCTGTAGACCCTTGATTTTTTTTCTAGTAGATAAATATTTTTACCACTACATTTTTTGTTTTAATTAGAAATAAAACTTATTCTTATTAAAATCTAGATCATCCGATGGTTCAACTAACTCGTGAACTAAAGTCATCAGCAGTTTATTATTCAATTTAATCAAAACATTTGTATCTTCAAACTGTATGCATATATAAGTGCAATCCTCAAGGATTGCCACATTTAAATCGAGAGAGGTCTTCGTCAAAATTTACCATTGTTTTAAATCTCCGGCTAAGACGAGGCTATAGCGGAACTAAATGAGGCTATAGCGGGCTATAGCCGCTAAGTTGGACATAAACACAAATAGCTTCATTTACCTCAAACAGCTATAGCGGTTATGACGACAGCTATAGCCGGAGATTTAAATCCTTAAAATTTACAGATCATTTCTTGACACGACCATAACTAACTTCTTGCCGATATTAGTCTTTATTGTAATTATATATTATTATGGGTACTCAACCCTAACTCGATATCTAACTCTACCAGCACATAGATAGATAGTATAAAATTAAAGTTATGATATACTTATGAGTAAATATTTCTGTGTCTTACGACGAAAGAAAATCAAAATCTATCAAGGTTTATTTTAATTTGACAAGGATTTAATACGACAATCTCATTGTGGATGCTGTGGTTATCGTAAATTAAATTATCTTTTAAATGAACATTACATAAAAGGTAAAAATATTGATATGTAACATTTTTTCCTTGTTTCTTATTATTGATATTTTTCCCTTGCAATGTACAGACATGCATGTTTGCTAGCAGCTAAAAACATTTCAAACCATTCTTCTATGAAAAAACACAACGCACAAGGTAAAAGATTCCAATAGCCCATGGAAAAAGTCTATATAACCCTCTCAACTATTCAGGGTGAACTACGTACTTTACCCCCAAACTATAAAACTGGATTTTCTACCCCTTGAACTTTTCAAACCGGTTAAATAACCCCCCCCCCCCCAAGCAGTTTTGATGATGGTTTTGCTACAACGGCGGTGGTTTTGTCTTTTTCTTTTTTATTTATTTCCGCTGAATCTTTAAAAAATCATAGTAAATCACCGAAAATCATAAAATGAAAAATCTAATTTTGTTGGACTTCACATGAGTAGATCTACACAGTGAACATATAATATGGTATGCTTTAGTACAAAGTTTTTGTTGTACCTTTAGAGCTCCCTTCAGAGCTTGACAGTAACCCAAGCCTTGGAGCAGTACGGAGGGTGGTGACCCTCAGCTACAACCACTTGCCCTCACATCTTAAGCCATGTTTTGTATATCTCAGCTTCTTCCCTGAGGATTATCAAATCAAAAGAAGTCATGTGGTAGGTAGATGGATAGCAGAAGCTAGGGTTTGTAAGAGCAAAGGTTGGGACAACCATTGATGTGGTTGGTAAAGAATACTTTGATGAGCTAATCAGCCGGAGTATGATTCAATCATTAAGGTTGGGTATAGAATGAAGTGTTAAAACATGCCGAGTTCATGACATCATGCATGATATCATAGTCTCAATTTCTAGAGAGGAAAATTTCATCTATTTAATCAAGAGTAATGAAAATCATATACCACAGGAAAACTTCCGTCATGTTGCTTACCATGACAGCAAATGCCGAAAGGAAGGCATGGATTGGAGGCATATTCGATCATTAACTTTTTTTACTAAGGGGTCCGGTGGTCTGGATCTGGATCTCACACCTTCAATTTCTAGACCTAAGTTGAGGATTCTAAGAGTTTTGGATTTTGTGGGTGGAAATTTTAGAATCACACAAGATGGTATAAACAAGATAGTGCTATTGTGTCACTTGAAATATCTGAAAGTCAGGGCTCATTGGTCAGCAAATATCTATTCAGTTCCGAGTGACATAGGAAAAATGCAAGGCCTTCAAATTTTGGACATGGGATGCACTTATATTACAACTCTGCCAACAGAAATCACTAAACTTCAAGATCTCCGTATCATCCGCTGTAATAGGAACCACTATTCTATTTTGGATCCAGATGAACCAGCGCATTGTTTGTTGGGCACATTGTGCCTGCCAATCCCAATAGGTCATTCAGTCATCCATCGCTCAGCAATTGGTGATCTACACATGGGCTGCTCTAGCGGTTGGTCCAAGACTGGTGGAGTTGGAGTGAGGGTTCCAAGAGGAATTGGAAACCTAAAAGAGTTGGAGATATTAGAGTCTCTGTGGACATTAGAAGAACTAGCAGCAAAGCAATTGACGAGCTCGGGGAGCTGACCAGATTAAGAAAATTGGCCATAGCAACAAAAGGGGTTTCCAAGAAAAAGTGTAAGATACTTTGTGCATCCATTGAGAAGCTCTCTTCCCTTCGTTCTCTCAGTGTGGAGGGCCTGGAGGCCGACAAACACCAGGGTAGAGGACTTGGATGGTTGATTTCCACTTCCTCCCCTCCTCCCCACCTGAGTAGCCTCAGCTTATCCGGATATATTGGAGAGATGACTGACTGGTTCCGGAACCTTACACAATTGGTGAAGATTTCCTTTAAGTGTAGCGAGCTAAAGGAAGATAAAACCATAAAGATACTTGGGGAGCTCCCAAAACTGATGCTCCTTCGAATTGATTACCGTGCATACCTTGGAGATAAATTAGAGTTTGGAACCAAAGCGTTCCTGAACCTCAGGACTCTTCAGATTTGGTGTATGGAAGACCTGAAAGAGATTAGCTTTGAGGAGGGCACCTCCCCTCAGATGGAAAGGATAGAAATCGGGTACTGCATTTTGAAGTCAGGGATTATTGGTGTCAAGCACCTTCCAAGGCTCAAGGTGATATTTCTCGATTATGCTTCCAAGGTGGCAAGGCTCCGCATGCTGGAAGAGGAAGTGAACGCACACTCCAATCATCCTGTCCTGCGGCTGTCAGAGGACCGAAGCCACCATGACCTGGTAGACGTTGAAGGATCCGATGTGGAGGTGGAAGCACTAACAACGACCGACAGGTCAGTGAACCCTGTGCAGTAGCAGCTTTACCTTCTCGTTTCCTTTATTTTCAGCAGAATTTTATGCTCACAATTCGGCTCTCTGCTTGTCCACAGTGAAATCCAGTCCGCTAGTTGACGCTACTGCCTGCTGCTCTGCTCTCTGTGCGCCGCCGCTGCTGCAGGTCTCGGCGTGCCACGAAGGGTACCTTTCGCCGTGTTGGCAGCTACTGCTCGAATCTCCTAGTGTTTGATCTGTTTCATCTGTTTGCTACAACAAGTAATGATGTTTATTCGAACTTGCACATTGGGTCCGTTTACTTCCACACTAGATAATCAGAACGACATGCCAACAAACGGCGTTATGCTCCATCTTTATTACAAAGTCATCCCATGTCGATGATGTAAACAAATAACCATTTTATATGTTCTGAAGTCTATTGCACGTAACACAGTGAAAGATTTCATAACTAAACACCAAGGCTTCTGCTTCTATTAATTTTTTTTCTATTAGTTTTTTTTAACTTATATGATGAGTTTTGAGTACATGAATTGATCTACAAACCGATCTTGTTCTCACAGCCCCTAATGTCTCAGTTACTCATTGACTAAGTTGATTCATTCTACCTTTCTTCTTGATGAAAGGCTTAGTATCCCTAGTCTCACTCTAAATAGAGCAGTTATATATCAATTCTTTTTTTGCGATAGTGACTATCAACTCAACACCACTAAATCACTATATTTATAGCAGATTATTCTATGTCAATGAGACAATCACTTATACTTAATATATACCTAATATTAAAAAGCAAAAAAATTTGCCTCTAAATTTTCGTCTAGCCAAATCAGGGAATGGCTTGACCATCCGCTCACCAAAAACACCACTCTAATCCGAGCTAGAGTGTTCATAATAGTTTTTCTTACATTTCCTTTTTTTTTGTTTTTGTTTTCCATTGAAGTATGTCTTTTTTATAAATATTAAAAATAAATAATAAATACAATATTATGAATCTTTCGACCCTTGACTTTTTTCTAGTACATAAAAATTTTTACCAATATTTTTATGTAGTTCTAATTAGAAATAAAACTTATTTTTATTAAAATCTAGATCAGCCGATGGTTCAACTGATTTGTAAACTAAAATCATAAGCAGTTTGATACTCAATTAATCAAAATAAATGTATCTTCAAAAGAAACATGTTTGCTTTTGCTCAATGAACACATAAATGAACTCGGTAAAGCAAATATATGCAATAATGCTGGCAATTCCATCATCTATCCACGCAAACTTGCAAAGCTGGTGGCCATGGGAACTCACACTGATATGCCACCCTGTTTTCCCTAGTATCCTTTGCTGCAGGCGCTACCTCCATGGTCTTGAGGTCAACAGAGAAGGGCCAGTGTTGTTTTCGTTGCCGCGGCGATATGCCAACAAACCCCAAGCCTCTCTTCACGATGAAAAGTGGTTTATTGAAGAAGGATGGCAGGTAGCCAGGAAGGCCGCAGGTAACCTTGGACAACAGGACCTTGTTCTCCAAACCCCACTCCCCATCCACCCTTGCAAACACCTCCGAGGTATGGTCCATTATGGTGACGATGCGTGGCTCTCCATCCCCACCATCGACGATGGTGAAGTTTTCTGTCCAGTTGTGGGCATCCCAGCAGTTTTTGATGGCATGTGGTAACACCGACGACAAGAACTTGCCAGTGCTACCATCAAGGGTGATCAACGTCCCATCTTGTTGGAGGCAAAAGTAACACAAGCCCAGCACGTGACCCCAGTAGTAGGATATGATGAACTTAGAATGTAGCCTTGAAGAAATGTGGTCGATGGCCTTCTCGCTCCACGTCGCGTCCGTATCGCCGACGGCAGTGAACACGGTGGAACGTGCGACACCATCGTCACGACTGAAGAGCACACACAAGACCCTGAAGTTTGACATGCTGATGCGCCCTCCAGCCTCATCTTCATCGCCGTCGATGAGGAAGGGACCCCGAAGCTTGCAATTGGCCCCGTCGAAGTCCGGCGGTTGAGGGACGACCATGTAGCGCTTCGTCAGAGGCTCACAGATGACCAAGTTAGGGAAGGGGCCGGAGATGTACGTCCCAGGAATACACTCCATCAGGAGGAGGCTGCCGCGGCTATCCAGAACATCCGATGATTGATAGCAGTCCCAGACCCGATATGGGAATATGCACGCGTCTACGACGAAGTCGAGGGAGAAGTGGCGGGCATCAATGGATGACGAGGGGAAAAACGATGGATAGCGACGGGTGATCCATGCATCATAACTATTGTAGTAGTCGCCGGCGACGGGAGGTCTGTGGAGAGAGTGATAGCGGCGGAGGAAGCCAGCGTCGGCGATGAAGCGGCGCCATCTTCTACATGTGGACGCGGCGCCGATGAGGCTGACGGGCGAATCGATCCGCTCGAGGATCCGAACCAGGGTGTCGTCCACGTCCATGGCTGCTAGCTAGTGCTAGCTAGCTTAGCTCTGCGACTGCGCTTGCGTGCAAAACCCTACCACGTTGTTGGGATTGATAATGAATTGATCCCGTACGTTCATGAATAGTCTATCCCAAACACCGCGTGCGTATTATTGCCGTATTGGACTTGGATTTGGGCTCTGATGCATTGTGGAGTGGTGGACCGACCGATGAGGCCTATACTGCAGTCAGCATGCACGAAATTTGTAGGAAGTCTTTCTTTGATAAAGCTCAACCTCAATCGGATGAGAAATTCAGAATAGTTTGGGCGACGGTATGTAACAAATTCAGAACTGTTCTGTGAAACCATATGATGAGAAATATAATTCATGTCTATTCAATTTTGTAATTATCCACTGTCTACGCACCAAATCATAAGTCATTCTAATTTTATCGTAAATCAACATATATATCTAACTTTGACCAAATTTATAAGAAATATATTTACATATATACTGCCAAATAAATGCACTATTCAATCATATTTTCTGATGGATTTAATGATGGTAAATATTCAAACATCTTTCTACAAAGTCCTTCATAGTTAGAGAAGTTTAACTTAATCGTATCGTTTGACATGAAAATAAATCTCCTGAGTAGCAAGCTACAAATCAAAATATGGAAGAAGAAAAAAAAGAAATCTCCTCAAGAACAAGTTCTTGACAAAATATAAATTTATAAAAAGGTTAGAGCATCTCCACTAGATATCATATCCAATCCCATATGCCTAGAAGTATTTTAGGAGATGGAATTGTTGCTGCAGATCGCATATCTCATCTGGATACAACCCTCTCAGCCCTATCTATAAAGAAATATAGGAAACAAGTTCTAGATAAACTGCTACAACAGTGCTCTTTTATATCGTATATTGATTTTAAGGTACTCTCCTAAAACAACTTATAGGAGATGTATGAAAGCCCCATGTTGGATTTTGGCTAATTGAGACAACCTAATGAACGAACCATCTACTCTAAGTGTTGTGATTGAGTTAGGTTAGTTCACATCCATGGTGGAGCTAGATGGTACTCAAGGTGGTGGAGATGGCCACAAGATGGTGATCAAGTTCTCCATATTTGGAAAAGAAGAAAGAGAAAACAAAACCCTATGGACTCAAGGCAAAGGTATAAATAGAGATTTTGTTTTGCCGGTCAAGACGTAATAGAATGTGTGATCGGGTTTATAATAGATGGCCGTACTATTAAGAGGAGAGCTCTAATTAGACAATTCGATCATCTAGTGCCATTAGGTGTTAGAATACTTTGCATATGCATGTAGACCTTTGTGACACTCGGAGAGCAAGCGCAAATGTTTATGAAAAACACTTTGAAAAGGCTAACTCAGCTCTAACATATTTGTGAAAAAATTTTGAGAGTTGGTTGCTTGAAAGGTTGCGCTTAGGTGCTTTCGGTGCTGCAATTTAGCAAGCACCGGTGGTGTCCGGTGGTGCGCACTAGTGGTGTCCGGTGGTGCACACCGGTTACCACGGCTGTGGTTTTCACTTAGCACGCAGTTCAGCCGAGCACCATGGCACCCCATGTGCAACGGTCACCAGGCATCGGTCAGCGCGCGGGAACTTCAGAAAGGAGCACCGGTCGTTGCACCGGCGTGGGGTTCTAGAGAGATTGTAAATCAGCTGCGCGAGCGTCTATACTCACCGTTCATGTATGGTGTGGCACCGGTCGCCACACCGGACTGGGGTTCTAGAAAGCTTGTAATCGGGCACGTGAACTCTAACGAGCACCCCCGGTCATCACCGGTGGCACACCGGTCTTCTAACAAGCGCCAACGGCTATAGTTTTTCAAGCCGTTGCGGGAGCACCGGTCGTGTCTGGTGAAGGTGACCGGTGCCCTCGATGGGCAACCGGTGCACATGCAGAAAGTAACTCAAGAGGGTAACGGTTAGATTGTGAGTGTGGGCTATAAATAGATGGTGTGGCCGGCCTTGGCCACCCTCTTGGCACTCCATACACTTGTGCATACCTCTTGAGGGCTGAGAAACCCACTCCACTCACTTGCATCTTTGATTTCATCATGTTAACACCAAAATTTGATAAGCTTACCATGGAAAAGAAGGAATCAGCCGATGTGTCAAAAACAAGAAAATCTCCAAATTAAGGAATATTTGTGAGCTGACTAGAAAATATTATTTAATATATTTTGGGATAAGCATGACGTCAAAGATCTCTTGACGTGAAGATAAGGGGCAGCTGGGATCGTGAGTTGGTTTGCACATGCTTGAAGAAAATTAAAGGAAGCCAGCCGGACTCCATGTGTATCACGTTACTTGCCTTAGTTTTGATGGTGTACGTGCTAGAAGAAAAGATACAAAGATAAAAGATACGGCAAGCATTCAGATTAGGAATAGAAATATTATATTCAGTTTAGCTTGAAGGCTAGATACGTGATATCTTTGTATACGTATGAAAGAGTCTTATTTTTGTAAGCAAAGTCCAGCAGCCCTATAAATAACAAAGGGTCACAGCAGATTTAAGACATCTATCAATCAATCAATATAACTTTACTTTTTTGGCTTCACGTCAACCCTTAGGAGTAGGA